GAAAGCTTCAAAAAGTATTAGTATCAGCACCTCTCTGACGGCATGGTGGGAGTATCTAAAAATGACAGTCTTCACTAGTACCATGCAGACGCACACCTATCTGGAATAATCCTGACATTTTGCAAAATAACCAAATGATGAACCTTCCGGACTGGAAAAACAAAGGAATCCTATACCTGGAACACATATATGAAGGATTGGACTTCATCCCATTTAATCGAATAGTCTCCCAGTTTGGAATAGATAAGAATAGCTTTTTAGAATATCACCTAATTAAATCTGTAGTCAAACAAAAATTTAAGCTCAATAAAATAGAATTACAAACACCACCAAGGGTATTTGACCTCTATAATCTCAAACCCCCCAAACTACTGTCTAAAGTATATAAGACACTGTCCAAAATAGACGATAAAATTGCAATCCCTATTGAAAAATGGGAGGTGGATCTATCAATCAGCTTTGATCAGAACTTCTGGTCCCAAACTTGTTTAAAAACTTTTAAAATGATCAGACACCCCAATTTACAATTAATTCAGTACAAAATTCTACACAGAGTACACTATACAGGTCATCAGATGTTCAAGATGGGGTTTGTGTCATCTGACACATGTACACACTGCACAAACAACATTCCTGACAATTACATGCATGCACTGTGGTCCTGTCCACCTGTCCAGGAATTTTGGGGTAGAGTGTGTGAAGACCTGTCAAAATGTCTGAAATGTCATATCCCAACTTCCCCCTCTCTTTGTTTACTGGGAAACCTGGACGATGTCCCGATTGAAACATCTTTGGCTCACGTGGTTCTGACTGCCATATGCATCGCTAAGAAAACTATCCTCTTGAATTGGAAAAATAGAGAAACTCTCTGTATTAACCAGTATAGAAATCTTTAGTTAGATCATATTACACTTGATTCAGCCTCTGCTTCCACTTCAAATCAGTCTCTCTGGGCTCCTTTGTATCGGTTCCATCACATAGCGATGATGGGGGACCATTGATGTTGTCCTGCGGGATGATGTGGGTGGGGGGGTTGAGGGTCTGAGTTTGGAGTATCCGGATGTTCCCTGGAGGTGGGTTCACTGGGGCTTGTCTGGGAATGGGGGGCTGTTGTCCCCCTCTGGAGGTGCTTGGGTTGCCTCGTGGGGTGGACTACTGGCGGTTGTGAGTGGGGCCCCTTGGAGGTCTTGGGCCATGGGTCACTGCCCCTGGGCGGGTCTGGGTGGGGGCCTGGGGACTCGGGGTGTGGGGGTGGCCGGCCCCGTGTGGGGATCTGGGCGGGGCCTTGGGGGTCGGGTCCTGACATGTTTGCTGCCGGGAAGAAGGCAGGAATATGCAGCAGTGCCTGGCCCGGGTTCAGGGGCCTCGGGTAGACCTTGGCCCCTCTGCTGTCCCATCACAGGGGAGGGGGAGGTCCAGGAGGGGGAGGACCCAACCTTACCTGGATGTCCTATGTCTTATATATTCTGGAAGTTGTGCAAATGTAGGGATGGGCATAGGTATTCTGCTGGGGTGGGGCTGGGTTGGTGCCCTCGGACTCCGTGAGGCTCTGTGATACTGCTGCTTTGGGCCCTGGCAGGATGGGCTGGGGTCTCCATGACCTGGGTGGCAATTTGACAACAGAGGTGCCTATTGGGCCAGTGGGGGAGCTGGCTCCCTGGAGTGCTAATCCCAACCAGCCATTCATCCCCATCCCCGCATATTTCTCTCCTCCTGCTCCCTCACATCTTCACACAATCATGCACATAGGACCTTGGGGGGTGGATAAGTCAGGGAGTGCAGGTATGGACCCCATTTCCGCATTCCTGTGGCAACCTGCCCCCCAATTTTATTTGCACCTTATACACTTCCACCGACGACATTCCACGCAAACACACACTTAGGGCCTTGGGAGTGAGCACATTCAACGGCAATTGGCAGGGGGATTTCTCAGCCTCCTCCTGAGTGCCGGTGCCCACTTCCAATTTTAAACTGCACTTAGACACCGAGGGCTGTGGGTGCAAGTGGGGTGGTGCGGTGGCATCAGCTGGCATAGGCCGGACAATGCCCGCACTGCCCGCTCACCACAGCCATGGAATACACCTCATCAACACACAACACTATATTGGAGCAGGTGGAGGGAGACTAGGGGTCTTAGCACACCTCTGTTGTTGCTTGGCTTCCTGGGGCTGGAGGCTAGGAGGGAGATCTGGCTGTCTGGGTGGGGTCTGGGATGATGGGTTGCTGTGCTCAGCGTTGGGCGGGGGAGCCTGCTCATCAGCACCCCAGCAGAAAGGGTCAAACTCTGGTAACTGGTGGTGATGTTGTACCCAATGTGCAGCACTACCGGGACCAGAGTTAATAGGGTGTGTATGGGGAGCATGAGTGGGTGTCCGGCGTGCATTTTTGTAAGTCTTTGGTTGTATGTGCATGTGTGAGCATGAGGGAGAGAGTGTGTGACTGTGTTTGTGTATGACTGTATATGTCAGGTGGGGCCTTTGACTCCTCCCCTCTCCTGGGACTTCTTTTGATGATATAGATCTTTGTCTCCCCTCCCCCTGTCACACCTGGTGTGGGGTGTGGTGCCTTGGTCTGCCTGAGTGTTTGTGGCTCCCGGGTCAGGGGCTTTAAGATTTTTGGCATCTGCCTGTTCAATCCCGGTGGCTGCCTGGTGGGGTCTGGGTCCCTGGGTTCTGCTGGGTCCCCGGCGGGGGTGGTCGCCCCTGGGTCCCGGGTCGTTGGGTCCCGGGTCGTTGGGTCCCGGGCTCGGCCGGCTAGGGGGTGGGAGGCTTTGGGCGGGCCTGAGGGCTTGCTGCTGATATCTCCCAGGAGTCTGCCGGCTGCTGGTTGTGGCCCCCCGGGGCAATCCTGTGTGCCTCTCGAGGGGGGCGGGGGCCTTTCTGGTTGCAGTGTCCTTGGGGTTCCTGTGTTCTGGGGCAGCGCCTGGATCTCTGGGACTTGGAGCCCCCCCCCCCCCGTCTTCTACACACTTTTGAGGGGCAGATCTGTGGCCCCTCACACTCTCTATTGGACGCTCCTATAGAGAAACCTTACATAAACAAGCGCGTGTACACACACAGGTGCTCACATGGTGCTCTCATATGTATGGGCTTGGGCACGTTCAACACAGGTCTTAAGGCTGTCGTTGCCACTACATGCACTATGATTTATTATCGTGTGATTGTTCAGTTAAACAATGTTGATTTTATATTTCATCATCAGTTTGACGCAGTGATAGCTTGCTCCTGATGTATTGTTGTGTGTCCCATTTTTTTCTGTTCTTTCCCTTTCTGCAGATCTAGAAGCAGACTCTTGTTCATTATTGTTTATTTTTGTGGTTATTCTTCCTGTCTCTTTCACCTCTGACTCTGTGTCTGGTCGGAATTACAAAGCATTCAAAAACAATAACAATAAAGTTTTAAGTATCAGGCGTGACATTAAAAGCAAACGCTTTGATGCTCCACCTGAGAGTAAATCTGTAAGGCTTGTTACCAGCATTCAGACATCAATTCTGTTTGCTTCACAGCCAGACAGGACACGGTAAAAAAAAAAAAAAAGGAATCTATCCGCCGCATTCTGTACTCTCTGAAGACGCTCAATTGCTGAGACACTGGTACGTACTGAGATGGTATAGTCTAAACGCTAGGTGACAAAGGCGTGAACGACAGACTCCAGATGTGGTCGTTTGACTATTGACTTTAAACATGAGATGCGACGTAGTTGAAAAAAACAAGTCCTGACTGTAGCGTTAATTTGTGAACTCATTGACAGATCAGAGTCAAGTTTCACTCCCAGACTGGTTACACAGATTTAAAATTTTAAAACGGTAGAGGGAAGTCACCAGGTGCATGCTTTGGATTGATTGGATTAAAAAGAATGGCGTCGGTCTTGTTTTCGTTAAGGCAAAGGAAGTTCTCCGACAGCCAGCCTTTAACTGCAGTAATACAGTCAACGAGAAGGCGAGTTGAGTCAGGTTTACTTAAAGCCAAATAAATCTGGCAGTCGTCAGCGTAAAGGTGATGATGTATTCCAAGGTTTGCTAAAATCATCCCCAATGGTAATAATTAAATCTACAACAGGAGTGGCCCCAGAATCGAACCCTGAGGCACACCCCAGAGAAGTGGAGTAGATAGAGAGGAAAAGTTGTCAATGTGAACACTAATCCTAGCGTTTCACCGTCTAATTTCTATCAGAAGCTAATGCAAGGAGTAGGAGACCATTTTCATGTTCAACCTGCATGAAAAACTCAGAGTGACTGATTATAATCAGAAATAAACATAAAGAAATTGTTTTTTCAGTCAACCGCATCTTTAAGAAATTAGTTAAAGTGTAAAAAAAAAACAGCTTAGTGTTGCTTTGTTATCATTTCAAGCACCAAATTAGCAACAGCTACATGCATCCTTATTGGGCATGAAGCACAGTAGCACGGCTCAATGACACGCACATGCACTAGACTTCACATTGGACCGTATTGGTACTGGGCCCATGGAGTTGAAACTGGGCCATTCGGCTGGAGGGAATCAGGAAAATGGAGTAGAGGACGGTGTGGCCAGAGGCGGAGCCACAGACAGGAGCAGGATCTCGATCATTTCAGTTCGTTTGACTAACTCAAGTAGAAGTTCAGTCTTGATTAGTTTGACAGTATGAGTGCTTAAAGCCGTCTGAATGTAAATGAACTCAAAAACTTTGTATGGAAGAAAAAATCAAGACATTTTCTCGGGAATTGTTCAGCATTGACCAAATTAATCACATGTTGGATTTTTCCATTCGCTCTTTATGTGAGATACATCCCATTACAGCACAGTAGGTTCATGCTGAGGGAATCTGCACGGGTGACACGTGGTGTAGAACAGTTTTATGCTGCTTTCCTCCTTGCGTAGAAGGTCACAGGTCATGCACACATCTCTGCTAAAGTCACACAGCCTCGCGTTTTAAGATTTAGTCTGTATTAATAGCACTCCTCCCATCCCTGCGTAGCGTGTAGCAGCCATCTTGAATTGGGTTCACTGTTTCTTCTGCAGGAACCCGTGCTGTTCTCTGGAACGCTGCGGATGAACCTGGACCCTTTTGAGAAATATAGTGATGAGGATGTGTGGAAGGCCCTGGAACACTCTCACCTCCACAGGTTTGTCAGCAACCAGTCGGCCAAACTGGAGCTGGAGTGTTCGGAGGGAGGAGAGAACCTCAGGTGTGTTTGGGAGGAGAGGAGGAGCGGTGCACACAGGGGCTCCCTACAGCTGCTTTTAACACGTGGTTTTCCACCCCCAGCGTGGGCCAGAGGCAGCTGGTGTGTCTGGCCCGGGCCCTCCTGAGGAAGACAAGGATCCTGGTCCTGGATGAGGCTACCGCTGCTATCGACCTGGAGACAGATGACCTCATCCAGTCCACTATAAGGACACAGTTTGATGACTGCACAGTCTTCACCATTGCACACAGACTCAACACCATCATGGACTACACAAGGTCAGACAGCACTCACATCACAGCTTAGCTGTTTTCTTGAAGGATTGAATAACGAATCAACATTCAGTTTAGTCCTGAACATGTTTGTGAGAGTCACAGATTAGTATCAGGGACCTGGACTGTGTAGTCTGGACCTCTTTGAGTTTACCTAATGATCTCCGTGGCCATGATCTGAGACGGTCAACACAACATTCTTGCCTCACACAAGCACATCAGTAGACTTCTGACATCTACAGAACAAATGAATCCTGTTGTTATAGTGCTCCTCCGTACCAGGCCTGTAGGGGGAGCGTATGCAGTCATGCACTAGAGGCCAATACCCATCAACACCTTTTATGAGCGAGAAAATGTTAGGAGGAGCTAAATCTAACCCCTAGAGACTGTGCTGTTTTAATGATGAAGTCTCTTGTTCTGTCCTACAGAGTGCTGGTGTTGGACAAGGGACGGGTAGCAGAGTTTGACACGCCCACTAACCTTATATCACGGAGGGGAATCTTCTACGGCATGGCGAAAGACGCCGGGCTCGCTCAGTAGGTCTGGTCTAATGTCCCAGAACCAGACCAGGGTTCGGCACAGTTCAGCTGGACTCAGTTTCAAACGTGGCAGCCGAACCGAGCGGGGCTGTTTATCTGGACCTGTTTGTTTAAAGGGTGTGCGTATGTGTGCGTGCGTGCGTGAGTTTTCAGGGCACTTCCTGCTCGTTTTAAATGAAGCCTAAACTCTTGTGCAGACTTGGCTCAACCAGCTCGTTTGAGGTGACTTCAGGACTCGTGTTAGCTGTTTTTTCAAAGGCTGTTGTGTCATTCGCCTCCACTCACCTGTCTGGAGTCTTGAATAGGAAATAGGAAAGCCACTTTCACATCTGGGTGGGACCGGACTGGACCGGACTGGGTTTGGTCAGCCCGTCCCTGCACGACCAGGATTTGTTCACACAGCTTTCTCAGGAACATGGATGTCCCCGAGCACGTGGGGGTGACTAAAGACACGTGACCAAATTCGTAGTGTCCCCGTTAAGTTGGTATACAAAGGCGGCCATGAGCCGTTTCTTTTGGAGGCTCTGGCATGAAGCACACAGCCTCCTGTCCTGCAGCAGCAGTGCTGTTGTGGGCTCCTTTACCAGCAGTCTGTCCTAATGCTGGAGCAGAAGGTCTGAGCTGCAGTCATAGCATGGTAAGTGGCCTGTATTTGTTTAACGCCTTCTTAGGGTTTCACAACTCCCCAAGGCGCTTTGCAACACAGATGCTTTACAAAACACCAGTCATTCACCCATTCACACGCTGGTGGGAATGAGCTACGATGTAGCCACAGCTGCCCTGGGGCGAGAGGCGAGGCTGCCGAACACAGGCGCCACCAGTCCCTCTGACCACCACCAGCAGGGAAGGCAGGTTAAGTTTCTTAGTCAAGGACACAACAGCAGCATTCTCTGTTCGGAGCTGGGATCAAACCTGCAACCTACTGCACAACCCGCTCAAGCTACTGCTGTCCCCCGAAGACGTTTAAATGAGTCACACATGCAGGGAACCACCACTGGCTGATTCTAGCCGCCAATCAGAGGCTCCCTCTTGTAGGTAGGCGTGAACTTCAACTGGCCAATCAGCCTGTAGTGGGTGTGTTGGGTCGACGCCGCACCAAGCTGACCGCAGGAGAGCAGGTCTGAAAAGCCCGGTCGGCTGAGAACAGAAACAGATTACCCAGATGTGAACACACCAGGGCTGGGCCGGGCCGACCCAGATGTGAAAGCCCCATTAAGCCATGCAGACACACGCTACCTGATCCAAGCCTGCTCCCAGTGCCTTCTGCCAGTTGGCTATAAAGCCAGTGAATGTATCGTGTTTTTATTGGCTGTCTGCTGCAAAACAACGGAAAAGAGTTTTTTTAATCATTGTTTTTTTACTGTGCCATTAGACTTTTTTCATTAGAGAGAAAAAACACCATTTTGTGATACAAACCCACATATTTTTTGTACTGTGTCTTTATTTAAGCTACTTTTTAATGTATTTAGAGCAAGGATAGGAAATCCTGGCTTTACAGGTCCAGTATCCAACATAGTGGTTACCC